TGACAAGGCGAAGGCGTGATCGTACCGCTCCTCATGTTTTATGATTTATATGATATGGTTCTGGGGGATACTTTGATAATAAACATTTTGAAAACGAGATGTATGAAGTTAATGGTTTTTGAATGAATTAAAATGTTTTAATTTGGCTATATTTTTATGGACGTTACATTATACTTAAAGTACGCTAAGCATAACTCAACTTACAGGGGGTTTAGCGAGGAACCGGGCTCTGCGGGGCAGAACTTCCGAGCCGAAAAGCTCTTTTTCTCAGAGCCTTCGGGCACTCCGGGGCTTTCCTCTAGCACCTTGAGGTTACTATGGTTTTAGAAGGGTTTTGGGAGGTTTAGAGAGAGTTTAGAGTGAGAAAGAAATAGTGGAAGGTGTGAGAAATGAAGGCACCTTCGCAAGGTATTTATAGACTGAAATACTGCTCAACTCGTCGAGTTGGGGCCTCTAACTCGTCGAGTTGGTGCCACATGTCACCCTCTGGTGGCAAGGCTTGGGGAGAAAGCAATGGCCCAGATTCAGCCACGTCACCATCTTCGCAGCAACACCCTGTCGACATCTAAACCCTGTAAGTTTCGCATACAAGCTCCATTTTCGACATTCTTTATATCCACACGTAGGTATGGACAAGATCAATAGCACTCCTTTTGACTCCGTCGGCTAATTATCGACCGATTTTAAATTTAACAGTATGAGAAGATTATATTGTTAAACGACCGTGTAAAATTCATAACTTTTACATACAGACTCCGTTTTCGTCTGTCTTTTTATCGTTGAACTCTTATTAATGAGATATTAAATTCTCATTTAGGTTGCGTCGGCCAAAATTTGATCGATCTAAAATTTGAATTCTGGGTTGTGCACTGCTATGCTAAATCTTAGAAAAATCATAACTTCCTCATACGACGTCAGATTTGGATGTTCTTTTTATGCACGTTCTCGGTTTAACGTATACTACGACTTTCATTTAGATTGATAAGGCTAAAAAGTATTTTATCAAAAAATCATTTTTTACGTTACGCGGTGCCGTGTCGGTTTAGCCGTAAAACTTCAACGGGTCATAACTTCTTCGTTATAACTCGGATTTCAGCGTTCTTTATATGTACGGAACCCTTGTGACATATACTATAACTTAGTTAAGATTATTTATTTTAAATAATCTTCTATCAAAAAGTCATTTTTGATGCTTATTGTCTCCAAATTGACTAGCCCGAATCTGCGGGCGTTATAAAGGCGGACATGTTAGCTGCACCTGATCCCACATCGAATGGGAAGGAGAACTAAGCATTCCTTAAAAGGGGTGTGGATACCTTCTCTGTACAACGCGTTTTAAATCCGTGAGGGAAGCAAATCCCATAAGAACTCTACAGTTAAGCGTGCCCGGACGAGAGAAATCCTAGGATGGGTGACCCCCTGGGAAATTTTCGTGTCGAGAGCCCAAAGCGGACAATATTGTGATATGTTTCAGAGGGGGATGTTACAAATGGTATCAGAGCTGGGGCACGGGTCGATGTGTTCGACGAGGTCGTCGAAACCTATAATGGGGGGGTGAAGGCGGGTAGGTTAGCTGCACGTGATCCCACATCGGCTGGGAAGGAGAACTAAGCATTCCTTAAAAGGGGTGTGGATACCTTCTCTGTTACAACGCGTTTTAAAGCCGTGAGGGAAGCAGATCCCATAAGAACTCTGCAGATAAGCGTGCCCGGACGAGAGCAATCCTAGGATGGGTGGCCTCTGGGAAGTTTTCGTGTCGGGAGCCCAAAGCGGACAATATTGTGATACGTGTCAGAGGGGGATGTTACAGTTCGTGTAGCTGACTCTGCATGATTTAGAGTGTTGATATGAAGCTTTTGGTATAGGTGACTTTTCTTACTATATTGTAGGACATTAGGTGTCATGTTATGCTTATTGTCTTTGTGACTTTTGCTGGTATGCTTATATCTTTGATTGGGTTGGGCCCGCTTATATGCTTGTTGGGTTGGGCTGTTAGGCTAGGCCCGATTATATGGTTGTTTAGGTTGGGCCAGCCATTATTTGGGATGTGGTGTTTTAGGGAAACTCACTAAGCTTTGTGCTTATGGTTTTAAGTTTAAACGTGGCAGATTATTTTGATTGCAAAAAAAGGAGAGCTTGGCGTGATTGCATGGCATCCTTGGATATGTGTTGAGATTTCCGCACTTTTAATTCACTACATTTTGATATTATGTTCTATTTGTAAATGATGTTTTACAAATCAATGGTTAATATTGGAGAATGGAACTGGAACATATGTTTTACTATTTTAAATGAAAATTTTACCACGAAAATCTGGGATGTTACACCTCCAACGGGGTCGAGGATTCTCAACGTTGAATCATATATTTCTTTTTTAATTTTCATATGAAAACTTTTATGTGAATAAAAACATTAAATTTCAATTTTACCAACATAAGTTTGAACATTTTACAAAACATAAAAATATTTATAGATTGCATAAAAACTATAAACAACTTTTCTACCAAGTTAACATACATGGAAAATCAAGTAGAAAAAAAAATTATCATAGTAATATTTGAGGTAAGAATAAATAAACCAAGGAGAAAAAAACTTACACACGAGGTTAAAGTAGATAAACGAAGAAGGAAAAATATTATTTCAACCAAGTAATTACTAATGATTGGGTTATTTCGATCAAATTTTAGGTAATAAATTTTACTATAAATATATATTTTGTATTATTTTTATAAATTAATATCTACCATGGTCGGGGACTAGGGATCCCCGTCCTCATCTTTTATTTGGGGATTTTCCATCCCGATCAACTTGGGGATCCCTCGGTCAAACTGAGTACAAGTTTTGGATTCCCCCATTGGGTGTTTTTTTTCCCATTACTAGGGTGATCTTCCGGTGTTTTATGTCATGTTCTTTTAAATAAGTTTCAAAATTATGAGAGGTATACTCCCCTATTATCAGGTCGTAAAAGTTCGATCGCATACTAGATTTGTCTTTGTAACAAGTAATTTAAACATCTTTTTATTAAAGATTAATAATCAAAAATCAAAAAAGAAAGCCAGTAAGGGAAAAATGGTCTTATCACATTTGACATGGAAGGAAATAGTATCCAAAGATACTATAGGGACAATGTGAGTGTAATAAAAAGTTAAGGACCAAACGTACAATTTTGATCAAACCATAGGGACGATTTCAGTAATCTGCGTACTTAGTCCTTATTTTTTTTTAAAAAACTCAAACCATCCATGTTCATGCTCTTGTTAGAAGAAATTGAGTCCATGTCAACTCGATTAGGCTATAGATTAGAAGAAATCGAAGTTGTTGCATCAGATGACTTCTTTTGCATATGAAGGTTTCTTTTACATATTTTGACGAAGATATAGGCCGGATTTGTAGTTTTGTGCCTGTGTGTGTGTGTGTGTTTATATAAGTGTTTGATTTCTTGAATGGATTTGATCTGTTGAATGGATTTCTGGATCAACGTATTTTTTGGATCTGAACATCGATGGTGTTTTTTCCTGTGAAGAAGTAGCAGTGGTGGTCGCTATAGGTTAGTGGTGGTGGTTGGTTTAAGGGTTTTCCGATTACCGAACACAAGGAGTGGGTGGTCCGGGCTTTTCGTTAAAGGGATCCAAAAAATTTCTAACTATTTAATCAATATTCTTTTTAATTAATTAGTGATATAAAAAAAGGTAAAAGAAATCAAAAGGGCAAATTAATGTTTTAGGGACCAAATTCAAAACAAAAACAAAGTGTGGGGATGCTCCGAGTTAAAAAAAAGCGTTAGGGAACAAATACATGTAAAGATTAATTACCGCAAACCACAAGGACCATTCGTGTAATTTACCTTATATATATATACCTTGTTTTTGTTATATAGTTTGTTACTCCAGAGGTTTTCAAAGCTATAATGATTAGCTCCCGTTCTGTTTCTCATGCATTTAGTAATTATACTTCGTACATGTGTTATATTGTGCATCTAGGAGTTTTTGAAAGCCATATGTAAAAAAAATGGATAAACATAAATTACTTATTTTATTTTGTATTAATTTAAAATTTAAACTACAGATAGTCTTTTTTTTTTTTAATAATATTGCGGTTATTTCATGATAGGTTTGTACTTGGTTACAACTTAAAATAATAGTATAGATATACACGGATTAATGGAAGATAAACAAGGAAATATGCAGTTGTCATTAATTTAGAGGCATTATCACTTATATCTTTCCAGAATCATCCATGTATGCATGGTTCGTAACTATATATTATATATAATCACCGTTGATATTAAAAGAAGACCGCAGCTGGTTGAGAGGAAGAACTAGCAGAAGGGGTAGTGGTGATCAAAGGCGGTGAAGTTTCTAGTGGGACTTTTCTTTAATCAATTTGAGGTATAATTACTTCGGCTCTCGACTTTTTCGTGTTTATGTGTTTGTTTTGTATTGCATGTTAGGATTAGATTGACGTAGCTAGCAGCTTGATTCGACCATGATCATAAAACTGATGAATTTTTTATTTGAGGGCTTAAGATTTCTATAATGACGACCCAAAAATCGATTTTTGTAGTGTCTTTGTAAGCATCACATTCACTCTCAAACAATTGTTTCTGGAAGTGGATAGTAGCATTTGTTAGTTTTAATATTTACTGTTAACAAAATCATTAGACAAAGAGAAGCACAAAATCAGGTTCAATGGGAGAATATTCATCCAGTAATGTCGTATGACAAAAGTAGCTGGGTAGCAGGTAGCCCAAAAGTAAACATAAGGATTTTTTTTTTTTTTTTTTTTTTTGAATTTTTTGTTAAAAGTTAAAATTAAAGCACTCAAAAGATATACAGAATGAAGGAGCGGGATTATCAAGTTATATTAAAATTAAGTTATTAAAAACACTAGCTAGAACATTTGGAAGTGGTTATTAATTGTTAAAATTAGTAATTCATTGATAACAGTGTAAAGTGTGATTTTTCAACTCTATTTGTATACAGTGAAGTTGATCAGGGACGATGGGAAATGTTGCCGAAAAGAATGCAAATTCAGTTCGACTGAAAGTATTTCTTGATGGAACGAAGAAAAAAGTGATGTTTGCAGAAGCAGATGAAGACTTTGTGGAAATCCTCTTCAGTTTTCTCACTTTGCCTCTTGGAACAATTGCAAGCCTCTACTCCAAGGATATAAAAGTTGGAAGCTTGACTTCTCTATATGAAAGTGTCGAGAATTTAAATAAAAAACTTTTCTTTAAGTACTGGTATAAGGATTGCCTAGTTAATCCAATAAATTCATCAGCTAATGTTTGCGAGAAGCTTAAAGTAAATCTAAATGGAACAAAGTCAATCCCTTGTCAGACTGATGCAATCTTTTTCAAAAAGAAGGGTAGATTCGTCATTACAGACGATCTCAATATCCTACCTCTCGTGATGGACACAAGCATTGCACTCCTTAATTCTCTTGGTGTTGAATCCATTGATTTATTACATGAAAGAACTATATATTTTGGCTTAAAAGAGGTATATATGCTTTTGGTTTTGGTTATATTTATATATCACCATGTATCGTTAATTTTATATAATATCCCTTTCATATTATTTTTATTTCAGTTCTCGCATCTACTCAAGTGGTCATTACTGACAAATAATCCTTTGACAAACCTGGTGTTTGGGGGAAGGAAGTCATGTTCATCATTGTCCACATACTCTACACCATGTAATTCACCTTTCATGTCGGGTAACTTTACCCAGACAACAGTAAAATTACTTTTACAAAAATCGAAGAAGAAGGTATTATGTGCACAAGTGGAGAATCGTTTTGTGGAACTTCTTTTTAGCTTCCTAACAATCCCGTTGGGTGCGTATGAACTTTTAACAAAGGATATTGCTTCATCTCCAATATTGGGTATAAGTAATCTTTACAATAGTATATCAAGTTTGGGAGAAAGAAAATTCTTGAAATCTGAGGATGTGAAGAGCATGTTACTTTGTCCCAAACTAGCAACTAATTACCATTGTGTCACTGACTTGCTTCCGATTTATGAAGATAATATACGCCCAGGTCGATTCCTTAAAGAACAAGCAACATTCATAGTTTCTGATGATTTGAAAGTAACAGCTTCTCAATCAATAGCTACAATTTCAAACGTCAATGCACCTGGTGTCCCTATTGCTGATATGGAGTTTCTTGACCTATGCGTTGGTGAACAAGAGGTAATTAATTAGCTAGCTTTGGCCAATTGATTTAATTTAAACACTTTGCATGACACCATTTGCTTTGATTATGTAGGCACTTTTACTTCTCAAGGTATCTCTAATGTCGACATCTGCTGTAACTGATTGGCTAAGGGTATTACAATATAGGAAGAAACCAAAGGTAAAATCATCACTTGAATCCCTTTTACAATGTATTTTAGGCAAAATACACCTATTACATTACAGTTGTTGATAATGATAGTTTTCTGTCTCAGGGTCATGTGCCAAAATTTGCTTTAGCTGAAGATGCTGGAAGAGATTCAGAAGAAGTTGATTTTACGTCAAAAGTGAAAAATTATAATGATACATCATACATGATGTTAGATTAGATATTTGGATTTATAGTTTCTGTTTTAGGTTATTATTCGTGTTTTAAACTTTTTATGACTTGTGAAACGCATGAATGATTTTATGTCGTATTGATCATCTACATTCTCTTATTATGCATATGGTTTTAGGATTTTTTTTTTTGGATAAAGAAGGCAACCTCTGGTAAATTTATTAGAAACAGAACATTACAAACTCTGAGGCATTGAAGAATTCAAATCTATTAAAAGACCTTTGATTTTTCTTCGAATTGTTTTCACTTCCAAAAATCATTTTCCTTTTTGACTTTTCAGAATTTTTTTCCTTTGACAGAATCATTCAAATTTCGATAGTCATCCAGAGGGTATGCTTGCTTAATGCTTTTGTCATTCCCTTTAACTCCTGAAACTTTGCTTCTATCTTCTTCTTTATTTCCTTTCTTAATTGCCCCCACAGCAAACTTTGAAATTAAAACTTTATTCCCCATATTCTCATTGTTCTTCCGACTTTCCAATCTTTTTCGTTTCTTGTTATTTTGATTTGCCCTTTGATTATGAAAGTATATAAATACTTGGTTCATTCCCCATAAGCTAGAGAGTTCAAATACCTAGCTCATGTTATTCTCATTGTAGGCCTCATCTAAATCAAGCAAATTGAAACACAAAGAGTCATGAATATTTGTCAAGAAATCTTGAGAAAAACCTTAGAAAAAACACTTTGCAACCATATTTATATTTCATAACCTATCACAGCAACCCCTTTAAGTGGGGTGTATGGACCCCACTTAGAAGTGGATACCACCATATTTATTACTAAAAAGACCTCAAACATTCATGTTTTTACTAAAACGTCCTACTTGGACATTAAATAGCCCCCCATTGACATTTTTTTTACTAAAAAACCAAAGATAGTTTAAATTTTCAGAATTATGTTTTTACATATTTTTTTTTTATTAATAATGGACATGGATAGATTTCATTTTGGATCCACCATTGATAACAGCCCGTGAAATTCATGGTTATTTTTGGAAAACCTTATTTTTGTTTTTTTTTTTGCCTAAATCTAAGAAAGAACTTATGAATATTAGTTTAGTTTGTCTTTTTCACTTTTTAAAATTATCAATAATTACATACTAATATTTATGATAAAAAAAGAATCAAATTAGTGAAAATATTATACTATAAGAAAATATAAGAAAGCTATAAATGTAGATAACTAATTGTACACTTGAATATAAGTGATTGATAAAAATGACCAAAAAGCTAATCGGTGAAAAACACTTTAATATGTAAACTTTGGGGGAAAGGAAGAAAAAAAGATTCTCCCTTTGGCTTTTTATAGTAGTTGCTTATTATTTTAACGAATACTTGATACAATGAATAAATTTATTAATAGTTTAACACTATACGATGTTGTTATAAGTTATTGACCTATCACTATTCACTACAACGATTTCAAAGTAAACGGCAAAATCAACAGCCAGGATTTTTACGCATATTTGACTAGTATTAACTTTGTTTTCTTTCTGACTATTTTCAGCCAATCGATGTGTTGGAGTATTCCTCACTGCAGGAATTGAATTTAAACAGAAGTCTTATTCTCATGAGACCAACTAGAGAAATATAGCAAATCAAAAATCGTATCATATTATCATCAAGATTTTGATATTAAGTTTTCTTTTTGCCTTTTCCAATTTGTAATATTTTTAATATTGTAGCATCATTTGCGTGTGTAAAATTGTGGTTTGTTCCAATGAGAATATTCCAACTCTGGTTTCAGATTTTGTTGATAATTGGCTTTTACCTGATCTTGTTTGGGGTCAACTCCATATCGGCATCTAGCCATTGTCAAATCGAGCAGCAATTGATTTTGATACAGTTGAAGAAGGAATTAGACTTCAATTCTTCATTATCATCAAAACTTGTGTCTTGGGACCCAAATGCAGCAGATTGTTGCACCTGGATAGGTGTTAATTGCAGCATCAGGGGCCAAGTTATCGGCCTAGATTTAAGCAATGAGATGATATCTGGTGACATTGATAATTCTAGTGCTCTCTTCAGTTTAAAGAATATTGAGACGCTGAATCTGGCTGAAAACGACTTCAACTTCACACACATTCCTTCTGGATTTGGCAGCCTGACAAGTTTGAGGAGTTTGAACTTGTCAAATTCATGGTTTTCAGGCCAGATTCCTGTACAACTCTCACAGCTGACAAAGCTTCAAGTTCTTGATCTGTCTTCGCCTTTCTCCTTGGGAATTCTCTCACTGAAACTTGAGAACCCCAATTTAGGCATGCTTATCAAAAACCTCACACGGCTTAGAGTTCTTTATCTGGATGGTGTTGACATATCAGCACAAAAATCAGATTGGTGCCAGGCTTTATCCTCTTCTTTGCTTGATTTGGAGGCTTTGAGCTTGTCAGATTGTCAACTTTCAGGCCCTTTAGATGACTCCCTTGGGAACCTACAGTCACTTTCTGTAATTCGACTGGCTCAGAACAATCTTAGCACTCCAATTCCAGATTTCTTTGGCAATTTCAGAAATCTGACTGTTCTGCATCTTGGTGCTTGTAATTTGCGTGGAACGTTTCCCTCAAAGGTCCTCGAATTGCAGAAATTACAGAGTCTGGATCTATCAAGCAATATGAATCTTCATGGTTCCTTATCAGATTTTCCTGTGAATGGATCTCTTCAAAGTTTAGTGCTCAGCAACACAAACCTTTCAGGAGCAATACCGGAATCTATCGGGAATCTTAAGAGCTTATCCCGGATTGAGCTTCCAAATAACAATTTCAGTGGAAGAATTCCCAAGTCCATGGAGAATCTCACCCAATTAACTTACCTCGACTTGTCCTTAAACAACTTTACTGGCCAAATCCCATCATTTCAGCTGTGCAAGAATCTTACCCATATTGACCTCTCACGAAACAGTTTATCGGGTACCATCCCTTCTGCTCACTTCCAAGATCTTCAAAATCTTGTGTTAATTAATCTAAGGTTCAATACCTTCAATGGAAGCCTACCTTCGTCTCTGTTCAATCTTCAACAACTGCAAAAGATCCAGCTTTCCAACAACAATTTTGATGGTGTACTTGCTAATTTTACTAATCCATCTGCATCTTTACTGGACACTCTTGATTTGAGCAGTAACAAGTTGAAAGGACAAATTCCCAAGTCCTTCTTTCAACTTGGAAGGCTTAATATCCTCTTGCTATCTTCAAACAACCTCAATGGCACGATTTATACAAAAGATTTCCAGGGTCTAAGCAACCTAACAACCCTTGATCTTTCCTTCAACAACTTGTCAGTTATAACGAGCCCAATCCCTTTGTCTCATCTTCCAAAGTTTTTCTCATTAAGGTTGGCTTCATGCAATCTTCAGAAGTTCCCTAAACTACACAACCAATCAAGATTGATAACTCTAGACCTTTCAGACAACAAAATTGATGGAGAAATACCAAACTGGATCTGGCAACTTGGCAATGGAGGCCTTTCGTATCTGAACCTTTCTCGTAACCAGTTAAATAGCCTCCAAGAGCCCTATTTTCTGCCCGATCTTGCTGTCCTCGACCTGCATTCCAATCGCCTCCATGGGGCGATTCCAATTCCACCAAAAACTGCTACCTTCATTGATTACTCCAACAATCTTTTCAATTCCTCACTCCCTGAAACCATTGGGGTAAACCTCTTGTATGCATATTTCTTTTCGGTTTCTAACAACTTACTCACTGGGGAGATCCCTGGATCCATCTGCAATGCTACCTACCTCAAGGTTCTTGATTTGTCAAACAACAATTTAACTGGAAGGATACCACAGTGTTTGATCGAATCTGGTGGCAGCCTTGGTCTTGGGGTACTGAACTTGGGAAACAACAGTCTTAGCAGCCAAATCAAAGTAACATTCCCAAGGAACTGTAGCTTCAACACACTTGATCTGCATGGAAATTCTTTGGAAGGGTCAGTCCCACGATCTCTTGTCAACTGCAGAATGCTAGAGGTGTTAAACCTTGGCAACAACATGATAAACGATACTTATCCATGCTTTTTAGGTGACAACACCAACTTGCGGGTGCTTGTTCTACGATCCAACAGGTTCCATGGCTCCATGGGTTGTGGTGAAGAACAACAGAACAACTGGTCAAACATTCAGATTCTAGACATAGCTCACAATAGTTTTACAGGCACTGTCCCTTCAGATTTCTTCAGCCACTGGGATGCTATGATGGCTGACAACAATGGAGGAGAACATTCACATTCACTTATGAAGCACCTCAGCTTTACCGTTTTACAGGTCTATGATGATGGAATCTATTATCAGAATTCTGTGAGAGTCACCATCAAAGGACTAGAGCTGGAGCTAGTGAAAATCCTGACTCTCTTCACATCCATTGATATGTCAAATAACCATTTCTCAGGTCAAATACCAAGCACAATTGGGCGACTCAAAGCACTGTATCTTCTCAACGTATCACATAATGAGTTCACAGGCTCAATCCCACCGTCTCTCGGAGATTTGTATCACCTAGAATCATTAGACATGTCATCAAACAAACTAACTGGAAAGATCCCATCAGTGCTCACAGATCTTCCATTCCTTTCCAGCTTTGATCTGTCATACAATCAATTGGAAGGAAGAATCCCAACAGGCTCCCAGTTTCAGACCTTCCAAGACACATCATACAAAGGAAACAACGGATTATGTGGGTTTCCTCTGAGTAGAAGTTGCACTACTTCAGTTGCAGTATCAGCACCAAATTCCCGGGAATCAAATGATGATGGGTTTGATTGGCATTCCGTATTCTATGGAATGGCAGTTGGGTCAGTCTCAACCATCTTGTATTCCGTTTGCAAGAGAGGTACATGTTATTGATTTCTCGAGGAAGGAAGAGATTGATGGTGGTGTAAATTGTAAAATGTGATTCCGTTGATCCAACACAGGTATCATCTTTTTTGTCTTTCTATTCTTCAAAAGCAGAGTCTACGTTCTCAAAACTTTGACTTGTGTTATATAAGCTATTTTGTTTTCCTTTCCAGAATTTTTCAGTTTGTATCTAGAGTCAGAATATGAATTCTTCATGTAAGAGAAAACACAAAAAACATTAAGGTCAATTAATATCTATTGGATTGCTTAAAATACTCAATTAATGATCAATTGTGAAAGTTGATTATAAACTAAATCTGCCATATTTCTTGAACAACACCCTAATCTTGTTGCAGTTTTTATAAGGCTAACCACATTCAATAGTAAAGATATATATTTTTTCTGTTGGAACCAACCAAAATTACAGTTCTGTTTTAACGGTTTTCACAATTCATTTTCAATAGTCAAAGGCATTCAAAAAATATAAATAAAAAAAGATGCTGGAAAAAGATCCGTTTTCATGATCAATTACTCTAAGCAGTATTACATCCTGATTAAAAAAAACCGAACTTGAAACATTCATTTAATGCAAAAACAGTGTTGCAGGGGCTTATCAAAGTTCCTCGCACACGAAAAAATACAAAACAAAAAAGATGGAAAAAATAGCTAATGTTATCTAACTCTAGCTTCACAAAATCACAAATAAGTGAACTCACAGCTTAAAACATATTTGATGAAACCCCTAAAATCGGCAAACATGATCTTGAACCATCATCTTGCCACTAATCACTAATCATAACCCAAAATTAAAAAAGACCCGATTTATTTTCTCTAAATTGCAATCGGCAATCATAACTCAAAATAGAAAAAATACGTAATTGGCGAACATGAACTTGAAATTAGAAGCTGCGTACACCTTTTTGACCGATTTTGTGCTCTGGTGTTCTTCCGCAGTTCAATTCTGAGGTTCTAAATTTAGAATCAATGTGAGACGGTGATTGAGGAAACACCAAAGCAGAGAACTTCCCTAGCCCCTAAGCCCGTGCTTGTGACATTTGGTTATCGGTTCTATGGCAACTGATCCGCAAGTAAAAAAAAAAAGTATCGACCACGAGCGATCCACATCGCATGACTATGATATTTCAAATATATAAAATAACAAGTCTCAAAATAATGCTAAGCAATTGACAAAATTGTTTTCATTTAATAGAGAAAGACTTTTGTAACTACTATGTTTATTAAAAAGGTATAAAAATATATTAAAATTTATGGATTTAAATTTTTAATGCATTACAAATAGTTGATATATTTTTTTATGTTGAAAAAAATTACAAATAAAGCTAATCTCATAAATTATTTTCTAAAATTTAATCAAAAACTAGTAAAGTAAGCAAAGTACAATGCTATAGCATCTATTCCAAGGTAAATTTTTGGTCATTATATGAAATGTCATTCAACATAAACGAATATTGGATATAAAAAGATAATCATAAAACATAACAAATGGCTCCACTTATGGATGTGTAAGTCTTATTTCTTTATCCAAAAGTATGTGATAAGTAAAGTTTATATGCTTTTATTGAAGAAAAATGTGATAAGTAACGTACAATGTTAAAAATAAAGATTAAAAATTAAAGAATTTTTAATGGGTATTAATGGTTTTTTTGTTATTGAAATAGTATGTCCCAAAGGATACCGGGAAGGGTAGAAGTGGTAAACAAAAGTGAACATATGGTTAGATACATAAACTTGATGATCAACATGTTTCTGGAACTATTGTCATATACCGACTATGTCAACATCCTATACTTGCAGATCCAGAGAGGGGAGATGAAGCCGGAAGGGAGAACCACTGTTAGAGTTTCTTTGGATGCACCTTTTCCATTTCCTCAAACTTTTTTTTTGTTTTTTTTCCATTAAAACTCGGGATTTGGCAAGCTATATGAAGAAAAATCAAGTGTTAAATGCAAGAAATAACAGCATAATTTCTTAAGTTTGAAATTGTGCTTGTCTTCCTATATTTCTAAAATTATGTACCAAGCTGGCCTTGTTTTCAATTTCAGTGTCATCTATCTCATCAATATCTTGCAATGATAATGTCTTTGGAACCCTCATTTGTCTCGAACATTTTGCACTTATTTACTGAAAAACCTGATGATAACACAAAAATTTAAAATTAGGTGGGATAATTTTCAACATTTTCAAACCTTTCATTTTAAAACATTTTGTCCCATCTATCAATGATAGATGTAATTATCATCCGATAAAACTAACTTAATGAACAAACGCATTCATGAAATCTTTTCTCAAAAACAAAGCAATAAAACAACAACTTCGGCTCAAAATTGTGATTATTGTAAAAAAAACACATAATTTAACGAATAGCAACTGGAATGTAACAACGTAAATTTTCAAACAATTTTTCATTTTTAAAACATAATTCATTCATAACAAAACCCATTGTATCACATAATATCTCAATGAACAACCCCAGAATCTCAAGTACATAAATCTTCATCAGTGTGTACAGACCATGCCGACGCCTTCCCGCGATCCTCGCTAGTACCTGAAACACATAACACAACAACTGTAAGCATAAAAGCTTAGTGAGTTCCCCAAATACCACATACAACACATACGCCTTTCCAGGTCATAACTCTGTGGGATCTTCCGATCCAAGTGTCTCAAGGGACTTCCGTCCCGAATCCTGGTAGACCTTCCGGTCCTACCCGTATCGACCTTCCGGTCTGTAACCTCCTGACCTTCCGGTCCATGTCATCTTGACCTTCCGGTCCATATCATCTTGACCTTCCGGTCCTTACCACACATAACATACATAGCACATACATATCACATAACCGCATATAGCACATACATCTCATAGCATACATGACCTTCCGGTCATACATAGGTACCCTTCCAGGTACAGTATAGTGAGAAGACTCACCTCCTATGATGTCTAGTAAACCTTCTGGCTTGATAACCTCGATCCAGCCTCCGCCTAACACATAAGGTAAACATCTCTAATTAATACTTTCTCTTGTTCTCATCTCTAATAATGGGTAGAAGACCATTCTACCCCTCCCTGACCTCTCTTGAATCAGCTTGACCAAGACCCCATGGTCAACTGAAGTCAACTCTAGCCAACGGTCAACTTTGAGCAGACTCGTCGAGTGCACTCAGGTGACTCGGCGAGTCCATGCTTGTCCTCTGAATCCTCCTAAGGTCTCACTCGACTCGTCGAGTTAACCTTTCACTCGACGGGTTACCACTGGTCACGAATCGCGGGGCAACCCAACTCGACTCGTCGAGTCCTCATATGGACTCGGCGAGTTCCCTCCATGGCATCACTCAAATGACCTTCTGAGGTCAGATCTGTTTCTCTAACTTATAGATCTGACCTTCTTACACCCAAATATCACATAAAGGTTCAAACTTTAAGCTCATGCAACACTCTTATGCCCTTATATGAAGAAATAGCTCCTAAAATGGCAACCTAGATCCATATCTCCAATGGAACAACATAAAGCAGAATGGTTGGGACTCTCTGGACCTCTTAAGGTCCAGATCTAAGACTTATTCCACCTTGGGACCTCATAAGCTTCGAATCCAAGCTAAAGAAGTAATAAGAAAACCCTAGATTCAAGAAAACCACCAAATACATGAGAATGAGTATAGATTCATACCTCCTACAGCAGTCCCATGCGAAGAGATGCTAGATCCACTGCCCCCATCTCGTTCCTTGCTTGAGTCATGCTCTTTTCCTTCCACAAAACCCACCAAATTACTTGATTTCATCATAAGAACTCTCCCAAGGCTCCAATGGCGATTTAGGGTTTCTTACAGGAGATATGAGGCGCATCCAAGGTCATAAGTTCCTTTAAATAGGCTCCAACCCCGGAACGTAGGGTTTCCTCTGCCCAACACCTACTCGGCGAGTCCATACTTGGACTCGTCGAGTCCTTTCATTAAATACCCGCAATCAACTCGACGTGACTCGGCGAGTCAGACTCTCGACTCGTCGAGTCCCTCCTAAATCCTCCAAATTGAAACACAAACTGACATCCCCGAAATCCCGGATGTTACAATTCTCCCCCACTTAAATTAGATTTCGCCCTTGAAATCGCTCCTCCACATACAGATCGAATCCAATAACCAAATGGCACCATCGATAGGATCTCATGCCACACAGCTTCCATCCTCTCTGGACACCTGGATCCCAACAGGGATTCCTAATCCCGGAGGAAACCCAACCCTTCAGATTCTCTCCCGACATAATCCAACAATCGGCTACCGATCCCTCATACCAAATATAGAAACCATCCGAATCACGACCCAAGAAACGGGAGGGTTCACGTCCCAGCAGGGATCATCCACTGAACTGCTATCGAAACCCAACCGAACAAAGAATTATCAACTCTCTACCCTCAAACCCTAAGGAATAATCGTGCTCGCTCTGAAGTGTCCTCAGACATCAAAAAAATCAAAAGCCTCAGCTCCATTCCTCATATCCCTTTTTAACACCGAGTACCAGGTCTGATCTCGACCTAATAGTTGAACCTCCAGGGTCATCCGTTGCATTATCCCAACCGTCTGCATGGTTTCCTTTTTACTAACCACATCGGCCCAATGTGACCCTCGAGTAATGAAGTCCGCTTAACCCTAAGCGAATGCTACCTTCCCAAATGAAGATCGACTCGACCCCGACCTCTGTCATCTGTTACTCATAGTTCTAAGCAACTTGCGGTGCCTCCCGTACCCGAGTACTGACCCACACAGGTCTAAGACATCAGATGACAAATACTACTCCTCATCATGGAACCCACCTCAGAATCCAGAACCTCATCTCGCCTATCCAATGCACCACCAGAGCCAAACTCAAACTCGGGAGTTTGGTCCGACCTAGAGTTGGAACCACTCGTCCCAACGAAGCACTCAACTCAGAACTCATTTCCCATAAACTCATGCGTACCTCACTTATCCTATTCTTTCGGATTGCAATGACCACA